CCCTATAACACTGTTGATAATTCCGTTTTATATGAATTCCATGTTGTATGAGTCATTTAGATTTTACAAATACATGAGCTGTTCACAGCCCTGTACTGTATTTGTAAAATCTAAGTGACTCGTACAACATGGAATTCATATAAAACGGAATTATCAACAGTGTTATAGGGGGGTCAACTGTAATCTTTATTTGAATTATATTTGCAAGTATGGATATCTTCAAGCTAACTTTAGTTTGTTAAAATTTTTTAACACAATTTTTTTTTTTTCAAAAATAATGTGACACACTATTCAGATAAAATCACAAGGATTATAATTATTTTTTTCAGTTTCTTTCTTTCTTTCAAACATTTAGATGGTTGGCAGATCTGGTGACTATTTTATAAAATTATGTATATTATGTATTGCTGTCATAATATTCTTAAGAATTCTTTAAAAATTTTAAGAAATCTGATCAGTTTTATATTTATAAATCAGTTGATTTGTGGCTCTTTTTAAATATCAGTTTAAATACTGGTGGTTCAAAATGTGAATGTAAAAATCAAATATTTGAAAATCAGTTATATATTTTTTAAAATTAAATAATTTTATATTTATCTTAGTGCTATAAATCAAATTGATTTTTTTTTTGTATAGTTTTATTTACACATGTAAATTAAGAATAAAAATATTTGCATATTGTTTTTAAAATCTATCTTCAGATCTGAATATAAAAATGTTTTTGTATTTAATCTGAAGGTGGAGTAGAGCAGCTTCATCTTCAGAGGAAAAACTTTGTTTTTAAATGTATAAAATTCTTTTGATAATTTATTTCTTAGCCATAAATTTGTTGTTAATAAACAAATGGAAATTCAGTGGTTTCATGAATATTTTTATCATTTTAATAGGCTTCTTCATTTGAAATAACAGATTTGCTAACTTAGAATTTTAAATTGTCTGTGTGTATGTACACACAAAATTATTAACACAAATTATATACTTAACATTTGATAAACTGAATGAAATTAAATCTAAATGTGTTTACAAAATCTTTCATTATTACTGATGTATAAAATCATCATTGCAAATAATTAATATACATGGAAAATCAAATTGCATATGGATTCAATTTATGGATTCAATAAAAATACTTAAAATGAATATAAATCTGCAAAATTGTGATAAAAAGTTTAATATTTTCAATCAATTTGATCATTTTCAACTTAAGTACATGTAAGAATTTAGTTTATTCTAATAGTTGTAAGAATAAATTTGAAATGTTTGTTTAAATTTATACACTTCAAAAATGTTATTTGCAATCACCATATTAAATTTGAGTTTTATAATTTATTTAAAGTTTTTTCAACCTTTTTGGCTTTTTTGTAAAAATACTTTAATACAAAAATTGATATAATAATTAACATAGCCTTTATATATTTTAAAAACTGAAAATTCTGAAGAAAAAGTAAATGTTTTATTTAATTCTGCATTTCACTTAATGAAGATTATTTATATATGAATGATTAATATCTTTTCAATAAATACGAGGACCATTCAGAAAATAAGGAATGTTTGCACATAGCACTCTGTGCAGGTGAATAACTGCTGTCAATTTAAGGTCAGTCTGTTCTCTGATATGCTAGCTTAGTGCATGTAGAATTTCAATAATGGCAGGCTTACTGTTTTGTCAAGGATTAAACTGTGTACAGAAATTGAAAATCCCACCAAGTGCAAAGTGTTGTTTTCTAAATGTGAAGAAAGTTTGTCCTACAGAAATCCTTAGGCAAATCATGGAAGTGTATGGTCATCACATTATAAATGAAACAAGTGTGAGAAAAATGGTGTTTAATCAAGGAGGAAAACTAGCAACTATTGATACATTCTGTTGCAGTCACTCAAGCTATGCTTCAGAAATTTGGCTGGAATGTTTTTGACCACCCAGCATATAGTTCTGACCTGGTCACCAGTGACTTTCACCTTTTTTCCCAAGCTGAAAGTGTTTTAGGGTAACAAACATTTTGGAATAGATGATAAGGTGAAAGAAGCTGTCACTAACTGGCTAAAAGAACTGGCAGTGGAAGTTGTTGATGAAGGAATCCAAAAACTAGAGTTTTACTATGACAAGTGCTTAAACCATAATGGTGACTATGTAGAAAAATAACTGATCTCGTACTAGTTATTTAATAAAACTTTTTTCTTTTTTATAGCCAAATGTACTTTATTTTCTGGATGCTGTATAACTTTGAATTTAAAGTCAAACAGCAAAATTCTAAATTATAATTACTAGAAATGTTTTTGCTTCCTTTTTGAAATAGTTTATTACAATATATTTTATGCTTTACTATTTAAAATTGCAATATTTAAAATATTTTTCTTTCAAATATATGTAACATCAAAAATGCATAATTTTATAAAATTATAGAAAATTTATGTACCTGTAAGTTTTTCCTCCTACTAGAGAACAATGTTATGTTACATTGTTAAGAAATTCTAAAATATCTTAGTTAATTATGCATTTGTTTTTTACAATTCTTTTATTATTAAATATATACTGAATGTACAGTATAAATTTGTTAATCTTGCAATTATGGAATCAAAGTGGTGCCTAATTATCAAAAATTTTTGATTACTGGATGTCTTTGCATATAATTTAATGAATTTTATAAAAATACAATCTGAATGTTATGCATTACTGTACATTTCGTACCAGTACATGCTGCTGCATGCATCAGATCTGTTAAACTGTTTAATTTGTTAACACATGCTTTTTAAAGTCTGAAGATGGTAGTGCATGATTGTTGTGTTAAGATTCACTGACTGAAAAACCTTTAAATTGTTAATGAACACATTATTGCATAAAATCAACATTATTATATGAATGAATCATTGTAAATGTTCCAGACATACTGTATACATATGATTCACAAGTGCTACAGATGTTCAAAGTATGAGAAACTTGTTTAAGGTGTGCTAAGTAAGGCCCATTATTGAAGACAAAGAACAACTCGGCTATAATGAAACAATGTTTGTTTAGCACAATACAATATACTGTAGATTATGTTTAGTTTTAGTTTACTGAAGTATACTGCTGGAGAGTATAAGATTAATAAACTTCTACTGCAATCATCAAAAGTTAACTAGATTTTTTAAGATATTGTCAAAATTTAATTATCTATATATATAACATTTTTATATATCTTGACCAGACTGTGTAGTACTTGATTGGGGCTCTGGAAATTTTTATTAAGTTCAAGAATCCCTTTTTGGTAATGCACAGTAACCTTGCAACAGATTCATCAATCAATCTCTTCCCTTCACTAAGTAAATACATTGGTCCCTACTATTATGCATTTTTTACAGCATAATTGAGATTTGTGAAATCAGCTGTATTAAAATTATGACTGTTTACATAATTTTTGTTGTTGTTCATTATTTTCCTAATCTGCAAAAATAATTTTTTCTATTTAATTAGGTTACATTTCAAAAGATGTACCTTGTAGCTGTATCTTCATCTTATTTTAAGATATTTTTAAATATTTAAAGTTTTGTTCAAATTTGAATTTTTAAAACATAGATTTAGTCAGCTTTATGTAAAAGTTCTTGAACATTATTTTAGTGCATGTGACACTAAGATTTATATAAAATACTTTCAGTATCATTATATAATGTACTTAAATAAGTTTTATAATCTAAAATAATGAAATATAACAGTTTTTCTGTACTAATCCAGGCTGATGACGATCATGATTCCGGTACAGAGTCAGATGATGAAAGTGCTGATATTGAGGAGCTTCAGAAATGTAGGTTTTGATTTTGTTGTAAATATCTAAAATTTAAAGATTTATTTTAAAGACTGCATGAATATAAGATTTTTTTTAATATAAAAAGCTCTTAATTTCCAATTTTGAAAAATTTAATGTAAAATGTTGATTTAAACCATTGATTTTTATTAATATGTATAAATTCATGCAGGCAGTTTATAAAAATTGTTAAATTGCAAAAATAATTTTAATTTTTAACTTATGGATATTTGATTATTTTTGGAGATTTAATAATGTTTAATATATTTCAGTAATTTAAATTTCGTAGCATTCAATGATTAACAAAAGAATCAGTTCTTCTATTGACAAACTTTGTAGAATTTATATCTATCTTCAGTTAATCAAAAATTTAATTCAGATGAATAAACTAATAAAAATCTTATAATGATTTTCAAAAATATTAAACTGTATAAAACTTAACAAAATTGTAATTTTGATATTTTAATTAAAATTAAAAGCTGTTAAATTTTTATTTAACAACGTATAAAGATTCTTTTTCAGTTAAATTAATTTCAAATNATCCTTTTCTCACACAAGAGAAAATGGGTTAGGGGGCGTTGGGTATAACTTTATGGAACAAAGGGGGCGGTGGATCGAAAAAGTTTGAGAATCACTGGTCTACAATAATGTATACTTCGTGGATTATTTTTTGACTACAGGCATCCCTCGTTTTATTCTGGTGAATGAATGCATCACCAGAATAAAATGAGGGATCCCTGGAGGAGGCTGTTGTAATAATGGACAATTCCAACCAGTGAAAATAAAAATTACCATCCCTTACTCAGGGTACACACATTGAACAGCATTAACGTGTCAACAAATAGGAACATAACACCCAAAAAAAACTGAGAAAAATTGTTATTTCCCAAAATATTGTGATCATGTACACAGCTATATCATTATGTGAGGACCCGAACAGGGGTCGACTGAGAGGTCCGAATTATGGGTGTCGATTTAAAATAAAAAGCTCCTTTTCAGACGCTAAGGAAACGAATTAGGTGTCTCGAATGAACAATGCAATTGTTTTTTTTCGTAAATTTGTTAAACAATGGAAACAGATAAATTCGAGGAAAACGCGACGAGAGAGAGGAATCATATTCAGTTGCAACGTTGACCTTTCCCACGCCCTTCATTAGGTTTCGAATTGTCACCAGGTGACTATGAGAGACCAATGGAGAGGCGACGATGGTTAAGAAATCTATAAAACCGTGCGTCTCAAGGGACTAAGGTTCTTGGTTCTTGGTGCTTCTCTCCAGGATTTTTGTGATCCTACTTATCAACAGCGACCGATTCGTCAACTCCTGTGACTTACTGTCGCTCTCCCGTGACGTAGTAATTTGCACGGATTTGCCTTTCACCAGAGACTTTCGCCGAAGCTGTGCCGCACGCCCCAGGGCTGTCGATCTCAAAGTACGACATTGAAGGACCAAACGGAGAAAATCGGACCCTTGAAGGAACTTTTAATTTGCTCCCCGAGCTGTGTTATGTTGAAAATTTGAAGACTGTTGTAAGAATTTTTTGTAATATAATAAACGGGTTAAAAATGGTAAACCTGTCTCAGAAAGTCATTCTGCGCCCACACGACAGAAAGAACCGCTCGGCTGTCGAAAAACCTTCACCCTAATCAGCTGACCTCACAATTATATATTGCCACATAACAGAGGCAGTGTAAAAGAAAAATTTGGCAAAATAAATTCATTTTATTGTGAAATAAATACAGATGCATTCCAGACATGCCATGAATAAACATTTTATATATATTTTTTTAAAAAAACATGTTTAGTACTGAAATTTTTACTTAATAATAGTATGAAAATTATAACTTACTGTAACCAAAATCAGAGATGCAATTTTTATACTGGACTGTGTGGTCTCGTACAGCATTGTTACTAAACATAGTGGCAATGCTGTATGAGACCAACACAGTTCTCTGATGATGGCCCTTGTTGAGGGTCTCTTATTGATGATGGGTTATACTGATGATCACACTTTATAAAATATGGATCCAAAGTTATTTGCCATGCCTTTGTTCTCTTCTCTTTGAGAATTTCATATGCTAAAGCTTTATTTAAACTACTACTTATAAAGTCACTTTGCTCCCTCTCGGGGTTTATTTCGCAACACTTTTTGATCAAGGAGTTGGCTTTAGCAAGAAATTGTTTTAAGGATGTCAGTAATTATCTTTTAAAGTTATGGTTTGATATGATTTCTTGGTGACTACGACATTTAGATTCACTAATTTTATTTGAAATGGTTATTTTCCTACTTTCATTATTATACAATAACTTTAAAATGATGAAATGCCATGTGAACAATAAACATTTTAAAATAAACAAACCAACATTGCTTAGAATTACTATTAAACTAAAGTTCTACTAGCATTACCAAATGTTACCACCAGGTATATAAAAAAATTTGCAGTTAGCATTTGCAAAAAATATTCTACTATTCTACATATCTTTCTCCTTTTAGATTTTGACCTTTTCCTTTTCAAACTTCTTTTCCTTTTCTTTTTACGGCTTCTCTTCTTTTCGCCCTCGTCTGTTTTAACACAGACAAAAAAACAGACACAAGACTGATCGGATTTCATTTTCTCGGTGTTTCTATCCGATTGGCGATCTTCGTTTTCGGGCTTCTCGGCATCCTTGTC